TACATACTTTTTAAATAAAAAATAAGAATATACTAATAAAATCTATAATTTATAATAAACTTTTAAAATTTTAACAATTTAATTAATATAAATTTAAAACATTTATTTTTGTAAACAAATGATATATATTCTTAAAACAATTCTAGAAATCTTAAAACGTTACAAATCGTGAATAATACAAATTCTAAAACATTTCAACAGAATACTCTAGAACTTTATTTCGCTTAATCAGCGTATTTTTTGAACCAATAGAATTAGTTTGTTCGTTAATTTGGCGGGTTTTTAGTGCTCGCAAATATTCTTTTTATTTTTGCGCACAATGATGTTTTGGGAATATTCAAGTTTTTTATGTTTCCATATATGTCCGTAAAACAAAAATTTTTTGTTTCATAAATAAACTTAAATGACTAAAAAACCTGGCCAGTTTTACGCAACTAAATATAATTTCCGTAGTCAGTATTCAAGAGCGATCGCTCCTGCTTCCCGACCAAGCCTGGTTACTACTGATCATTAGAAATTTATTTCAATTTACGCCATAAAAATTACATTTTAAATTACAAATAAATTCCAATCCTGCAATTATTGTGAGACCAGACAATCCATTTATTTAAAAACAATTTATTTAACCATCAAGCGTATATTATTTTAAACTATCTCTAAAATCGGTTTAAATAGAGTAGATAGTTATTTCAGAGTAGATAGTTTTTTCAGTTCCAATCATTTTGTTTACAATTAAGTTGATTATTAAGTTGAATCTAGAAGACGAAGGAATTAGTACCTATAGAAGATGAAATATCTTAACTATTTAGCGATAGTGGCAACAACAACGATGAATGCAATTTTGAAAGTTTCCTAAATGAAGAAGAGCCAGACGACTACAATAATGAACTAATAGTACATGCAAAAAATATAGTGCCTCTAATGGTAGGTTTAATTACGGATGGCGCTATGTTTTAACTGGACGGAGACATAGTGTTCAACAACAGCTAGCAGGTGCAACAATTTTTTCACTTACATTGTTTGTCGCACCGATTGCAGCTGGCACTAAAAGATGCAGCCAGCACTTCAAAGGAACTCCAAATTCTGCAGCTATTTTGTGAGCAACTCTTCATTTTTCATCGAAATTCTACTGTTATATCAGCAGTTTATTGTAACGCAATGCAAAGTTTATTGTAACGCATGCAAAGTTTATGGTGTAAAAGGTATTTTAAGAATTAAGTCTTGTTATATTGATAATATCTTAACGTATTTTTACTTATTATTTTTAGGTAGTATTAACAATCAAAATTTTTATTAATTAATTTAGGCAATTTTATATCTATTTAATTTGGTATTTTAATTTTTAGGCTAAATGCAGAGTCATACGAGTTAATGGTAACAGATGGGTTGCGCATATGGTAAATGCGTTGGAGAATCTTCTTAATGATCTAAAAGCGCATATACATAGTTATACCACTATCAGCTTGGAAAGCGATTACAGCGCAACACAGAAATCAAAGGCTAAGTTCTTTGCAAAGAAATTGGTTGATCAGCACTTAATGTCGACGGCGATCTATATTCTTGATGTGAGTAGAGCAATGACAATTTTTTCAGAGGCATTAGTAAGGTTTTTTCAGAGTATTAATTCAACACAAACAAAACTTATAAGCTTTAGAAATAAACAACAAAAAAAGTATATATAATTAGGTATATACTTAATTACAAAAAAAGTATATATAATTAGGTAGATAATATTGAAGAAAATAATAGCAACTTGGACAAGTGCAAGTTCAAAATCATTTCCACTGCTATCTTGGTCACAAATAGCGACTAATATCAAACCAGATAGATTCACTAATCTTTTTTCTCTGATTGATTTTTTATTTTGCGATAGCTTAAGTTCGGCAGACGCAGAAAAGGCTTTAGCGCAATGAAAAACATTAAATCAATTCAAAGAACACGAGTCAGTAACAAGTTATTAACAATGCGATTGTGCATTATGATTGATGGTCCAGAAATGGAATTATACGATCCAACAAAAGCCATTAAACACTGGCTTTTAAAACCATCACGAAAAAATAAAACTAGCATCAATCAAAAAAGCTTTACATGGGTAACAAATCTCCAGTTGTGTCAGTTAAAAAATAAAATAAAATACAGATTTCTGCTAGTAGCGATGATGATAGTGATAAAGCTGTAACAATTGATGACGATATATAATAATTTTGAATCTTGAATGTTTTTTACCTTTCAAAATATAAATAGTTTTTCTTGTAACAAATGAGATCGTAATAATTACAACACATTAAAAGCAAAGGGTTTTAAAGTATTTGTACATTGTTTTCTATATTTGTCAACAGTTTTTTGTTGTAATCAAACGCCTATTTTTTTATAAAATGAGCGCTCATATAAAGTTTAAAAATATAGGGGCATGTGTTTTTTTTTGAAAGTAGAAAATATAATTTTATTAATAGTTTTCAATATTACTTTTATTTGCGCATATTGTTTCTAGTGCACATTTAGCCATATAACAAAAAATGACTAAAACATGCGAGAACTTTGCTAAGTGGAAATTTAAAAAAAAAAAGGCAACGGGCGACTCAAAACATCGGCGGACGACCAAAATTAACAAACTGGTTAGTTTCAGTCGCCCTTCTGGCGACTGACCAAAAGTCCGAGTGTACACCATTATATATATATATATATATATATATATATATATATATATATATATATATATATATATATATATATATATATATATATATATATATATATAATATATATAAACGCTCAAATTAAGTGATCGCAAATTGCAATATCTGGAAATACTTCTGGTCTTTAAATTCTCAGTTTATCAAAAACCGTGAACACTGTTTTAATGAAACAATCAATTTATCATATTGCAAAAATTAATAAAAATTTGCTACTGCAAAAATAATAACAGTCAAAACTTACATATTTTTAATTAATGTTTTTTTAAACACCACGTAATTTAAGGATTATTTATAATACAGATACAAATTTTTTTTACATTACGTTACGCCTCAATCGGTTACACTTTAAAAAGTTTCAAAAAAACGTAATGTAACGTAAAATAAAATCTATATTTGTAACACATTTTAATTGTCTCAAATTGGTGACATCAATTTGCAATGTTACGTCTCAATTGGCTTTTTTTTTAACTTTTAAAAGTTTAACTAATGGAGATTAGTTAAACTTTTAAAAATGGAGAGGCGCAATTAAAATTCGTCTTAAATGCAGAACTTTTTTATGTTACATCTCAATTGGTTGTATTTACATTATGTCTCAATTGGTTACTCTCGAGTCCTTAATACAAGGGGTGGGAATGAAAAAAGGGTGGGTGGGAATTTTAGTCCATGTCTGATTAACGGGCTGGGGGTTAGTATAAGGGGTGGGGGGTTAGTAATTTATAAATATAAACTAATATCTTTTACATAACATGCATAAAATTTTATGCATATTAAATAAGTTATTAAAAAACAGTTGTTAGATAGTGCATATTTGACCACAAGCTATGCTAGAATTAAATAGTTTTAAAACTATTTAATTCTAGCGTGGCCTGTGGCCAAATGCGCATTTTCTAACAGCTGTTTTTTCGACAATTTTAAAAGCCTGTTTACACTGAATTATTGATTTTTCAGTGACTGAAGTAATGATTTTTTAATTTTTTAATTTAAGACTGATTTTTACAGAATTTTCCTTTTTTAGTCTTGAGATTTAATTTTTCTGTTGATAGCAAGTAAAACTTAATAAACATGGGAGGAGGGGAGGGGGTCTTATTAAGCCTAGAGCAGGTAGGAAAATTTTCCAAAAATTATAAAACCCCTCCCCCCTATATTTTAAAGTTTAAAAATCTGAAAATTATTAAATATATTATACTTAATGATTTTAAGATTTTTTGAAAGTGGTGTGGAAGATGATGCCTAATTAAAAAATAAGCATTAAAGCGGGTGATACTTAATTTTTTATGGTCTTTACATTCCTAGGTTTTATTCTGCACAATTTTTT